GCGCGTTCCCACCGCGGAGCCCGAGCCGTCGGCCCTGGCGGGGGCCCGCTGGGTACCGGGAACACCCTGGAGATTGGATTGGCGGATCCTCCCTTTGACTCCTGAACAAATTCTCTGCAGTGTCCTCGGGTTGAAACAAAATACGTGTCTTCCTCCGACTAACGTGATTAAACCACAAAAGGAAAATTAGCCGGGACGGCATAAATAAACTGGCATTTGGTGGGCCTGAAATTAAAATCAAGCAAAAGAAACTCCGACTTGACCATTTTTTCTACATCCAAAATGGGAATGGTTATACTAAGAGCTTTAGTCGCCAGTTTCTCTGACTCCCAAGAACTTGTTCTTCCGTATAAATTATTGGTCTATTATGTGGTAACTGAACTAAGATTAAATTTTTCAGTTTGTGGTTAAAGGAAAATCTACTGCATAAAGTCGTCTATTCTAAAATAAGACTAACGCAATTGTCTTTCAGCATTTATCAAGTTCCAAAGTCTATCAGATATTACTGGAGAGCTGGAGGAAAGGAAATGCATACCCCCCTCCCCTCACACACCCACACCCCACACACACACACAAAATGTTTACCTGTCCTAGGAGAGAAGAAAAGCTGCCAGCATCTCCGCTATGGTCCTTTCTAACAGTTGGGGCATGTTTATTTCTCCCTAAACTGGATTTTATGTCTTCCAATTGTCCAAAGACTGGATTCAGCAGGAAATCCCTCTCATAAATATGTTGCGGCTCCTTCAAAAGTTTGGAGATCAGAACCCTGGGACAGTCCACAATAACCAGGAAGGGCTAGGAAAAACCCTGTTCATCCCACCCTGGACACCTCTGATACAGCCCTTGTCTAAGCCCAAAGCCTGGGACTTCCCTGAAATTCCTGAGCTTCAGCTCTCCAGACTCAGGCAGGAAGTTCAGCTTCCCAGTCTCTTCTCTGAGGCCCCTGAAGTCTGTGTGGAAAGCAGAGAAAGCTCTCCACAGCTGTCTCACTCTTTGTTTTCACCTGGCATCTGCAAACCTTTGGCCTTGCCAGTGACCTCAGGGAAAGATTCTCAGTCTCCTCCAAGCCCAGCCAGTCTTTGGAAACTCTAAGGGAATTGGTTTTCTGAAGCAGGAGATTCCAACTCCAGTCTCCCTCCCTCCACCACCAGGGATTCACTGCTAGAGTGAAAGGTTGAAGAATTAAGGTGAAGAACCAGGCTTTGAAAAGAAGGCTTAGGGCCAGGGATCTGGCTCAGTGGTTCCGCTGCCACCTGCCTCGAAAGTGCACGGGTCAGAATTCGATTCCTTAATTCGATTCCTGGTACCAAAAAAAAAAAAAAGAAAGAAAGAAAAAAGAAAAAACAGAAAAGAAAAGAAAACTTTACAGAAGCAAAGCAAAGACACTTAAGAAAAGAACAGAGAAAAGGAGAAGAAGGGCAGGAGAATGTGCCAGCCAAAGGCAGCATCCACAGGACAGGAGGAGCTAGGCAGAAACAGCGTCTGGCTTCTAGGAGGCAGACAGGAGTTGTTCCTTCAAGAAGGGCTGAGCAGAAGAATGCCTATGGCTGGGAATCAAGCTAGAAAGGCAGGGTCATGATGAATCATGCCCCAAGGGTTGGATTTCATCCTGGAAGAAGTGGAGAACAATTCATTCCATGTGTGGAAAAAAAATTACTAACCTGGTCACAGTGGCACCCTCTGAGAGGCTCAGGCAGGAGGATTGCAAGTTCCTGCTTAGCCGGGGTGACAGTAATTTAGCAAGACCCTGTCTCAAAGCAAATAAAAGTTGTGATAATCTATTCCAGAAATACTGTAAGAAATATTTTTCAATTTTTATTGCAAAATTCTAGATGTAATACGAATACTAAATAATAAGTGAATATAATATTAGTAACCATATTGGAATTTCCTGCTCTATTATAGCATGGGTATATTAGTCTAAGTCCTAATATAAAGTATGCTTATAATTTTCAAAAAATCTTTGAAGACAGTGGCAGTGACAGCATAAAAATGACTTGAACATAAATCACTTATGTGAATCACACTTTAAAATGAATTTGTTAAAAATTTATTTAAAATAGGGATATGCAAATAGTGACAACTGTATGTGTTCTATAATAAAATGAATTTTAAATCATCATGAGGCCTCATAAGCATAAAAAGCTTGTGTGACATGTCTTTCTTTTCATTAAGTTTATTGGTACATTTTAGGTATACAACAGTTATTTTCATCATTGCGATCTTGTACCTTTACATGATGTATCTTGATTCTTATTTCTTCCCCATTCCCCTGCCTCCCTTCAACCTTTCCATCCTTCTGCCTTTGCAAAGACTTTGCATTTTTTCCTCCTCTCATATTTTTTCCTTTTCCTTTCTTTCTTTACCCTTACCACTCCCCCATTCCTTTAGACCTTTTCTTTCAATTTCACATTATCAATTACACAGTTTGATCTTTATTTACACTTTTACTCTTCCACACCAGAAGAACTATCCAGGATTTACACATGTGTGTTCTATTTATTTCACTTAAAAGTATAAGGGGCTGGGGATTTAGGTCAGTGGTTCCACCACCTGCCTCACTTAAGAGTATGGCCTCAATGTGACATGTCTTTATGTTAATATCTTATCACTTAGGCTGTAAAGTCAGTTGGAAGTCTCTACTAAAAGAATAATGAACCAAAATTAGAAAGCGATTTACATTTTCCTTTGAAATTAGTTTGGAACAGCAGCAAATTGAAGGATCAAAAATGGGAAGAGATTTTAGAAGAAAGTACAAAGTTTCAGTAATCCTGGTGAGTTGCTGAACATTTTCAGACAAAAAGCAAACTTCAGAAACTTAAGGAGGGTTGCCTCTGTCTCAAGAGGAATCTCTGGTCACCAAGAAGGTAACTTCTCTGTGGAGTTGGGAGGTGGCCCTTGGTCCACCGAGCCTGGATGCCTTGCACAATTCGGTGCCAACTGGTGAACACCCTCACTCACCCTGGTGGCCTATATGGCCCATGACACAGCTAGTGTGGCTCTCCTTAAACACTTTTGGAAAACACTGTCAGCACAACCCTATGATGTCCAAAACAAATGTGCTATGAAAAAAATAAAATATACAAAAGGAAGTTTACATTAAAACCAGCTACAAGATGGGTTTGAATGGATCTTGTGATACAAAATGAATTTTGTCATGGACTGTTAGCTCACCAGAACTTTTGGAAGAGTATTGACATTATTTAGAATAAAAGCTCACAGTATGACTAGGTAAAATTCCCACAGCACCACTTTCATCATTTCAAAAAACTGCGGGAGGCTTAGAAAAATGGAACACTTAAGTCAAGAGCAACCTATAAAGATTGTATTGCTGTCAGTACAGAAGCTTCTAGAGAGTTCCTATCTATCGTGCTCCTCTCCTGTCTTCCCATAGCAAGCACCTTCTTCCTGGCTATAAGTCAACCCCCATGCAACTCTTCCTGGAAGCAAACACAACCTCAGCTCTAGACCCAAGTGATCCTGGCCTCCAAGGAACAGCTTCTCCCCCTCCCATTATGTGACATGTCTGTTCACCTCCGCTAGGGTTAGCTTCTCCCAGCAATGATTGACACTAGGACTATCCATTCTCATCCACGGGAAATGCTTCTATCCACAGAGGAGAGGCTTTTCACTACAATATTGTCAATGATCATACAGAAGTCTGGCAACTGCACATTTCTCTAATTCACCATTATCAGGTGGGTTTCCACAGCTAAGTGACACCAGGAGAGTACGTCCAATCTAGGCAGGTGGGCCAAGCTCAGGAAATACCTGCTTATTTCTTTTCATTAATTAATGAGTCAAGAACTGTTACAATGGTTTTCCTCTTCCTCCACTGCAGTCTTTAGACTCCTTACAAACACCCTGTTCTGCCGACATTCCTTTTAAGGAGGGAGGGACAGCGTTGTGGTAACTCCTCACTGGGCTGAAAGGAATGGTAATATCTGCACAGAAAACAGAGCCCCATTGTGTGGTTGATAACTTCTTACAAAAACCGAGCACAAGTGGTGAAACAAAGCCTCCATACAGACTGAATCTTTAATTCCTCTCTTTTGAGATTATCCTATAATTCTTCATTTAAATTTCCCTCAGACAGAAAAATCTCTCCCTACTGGGTGAGGCTCTGGTTTTTCCTGGACCTTCTCAGGTCCCCAGTAGCCCTCTGTGTCTGTCTGTCTGTGTGTGTGTACAAAGGACGTTGCTTGTGCATGGAGGTTACAGGTGTGAATGGGCTGATTTCCTCATCTCGTGTGTCATTTACCCCAGCGGCATTCCCTGATTCACTGCCTCATCAGCCTGGTCCTTTCCCAGAAGTTTAGGAGGCCCATCCGCCAACATCACCCTGGGAAGGCGGTGCATTCCAGGGAGATGCTTGCCCTGTGTGCACCAGGGTAGCGAAGCAGCTTTCCTACCAGCTCCCTATGAGCAAGGTGTTGTTTCATGTAGCTTTCACTCATTCATTCATTTTAGCATTTTCCTCAGTAATAATGTTTAACTAATTTTATTTACCTCAAGATTTACTAATTTCTCTTCATCCTGCTCAGTTGTCCAAACCCTCGTGTTACTAGATGCTAAGTAGCTTTCCACTAATTAGAGTTCACTGAGAAGTCCAGTGCCACAATAATTAGCTCTTTTCACATGTTGTTTTCAACTATCATACTTGTGTTTGCCTTTCAGTCTTATATAAGCTACACTCCACCCTCACAGATAAGCACTAGTCTAAACTTGCAGACATCTGTGTAGGATTATACCAGATTCCCATTTCCCTAAGCAACCCTAATCCAGAGGTCCTACTCAAATATTAAAATAACTGGAGAGATAATAATCTTCCTCATAGGTGTGTGGATGTGCTCCAGAAAGACTCTTTTGTTCCCCTTTCTAGTTAGAATTCAGTGTTCTTGACATATTCAGGAAAAGTGGTTTTTCTCCCAGTTTCCAAGTCTTGTTCAGATCATGGGTCAGGAAAACTTCTGGCCTTGACTGCAATTCTTCACTTTTAAAATGAGACTTTCTTGCTAGTCTGTATTCTCAGGTACTTGTAAGGCAGGAGGCAGGAGGTGTGTAAGTTCAAGGTCAGCATGAGCTACACAGTGAGTTGAACGTCCACATGGATGACACAGCAAGACTTTATTTCAAAAAACAGAATAGTATAGTATGGAATAAAAATTTAAAATGAGATGATGGCCAAAACCTTCACTACCAACTCCCCAAAGTAGTAATTTTAAATGTCTTAAATGATTCCAACTTCAACGAGAGCCATCAGCTAGAAAAACTGCTTTTTTCCTACTTAAGACAGCCTTAAATATGATTAGATATTATCAGGAACAGTTTTTCCATCCTCTAATGATGAATTATCTGTTTCAACTGCTACACTGCCAGAAGTCTAGGCAGAAATTGGAGACAGTTGCTTGACCCATTCCTGACAGCCTAGGATGGGGGGTATACAAAGAAGTTGCTAGAGGACAAGCACCAGGATATGACCCTGATGTCTTTCCTCCTGTTTGGTGACCTTCCTTTCTATAATATTCCCAGCCAGTCTGAACTTTCCCTTTCTCATGAGACTGAGAGTTAGGCTTTCTCTTTCCTGGAAAGTTTTAGAAAGAGATAAGCACACACAAGTTCTTAAGGCGTTGTATAAGATAAAGAGCATCTTATTTTCTACATATCCTCTTATATTTTAACAAATAACTTACTGCCTGGCAGGAAAGTGCGTGACTCTGTAGAAACCGTCCCTGGGAGGGCTGCTTCTTTAAGGATGC